GAAACTTCAGAATCATAATTCTTTGCTCTTTATAAGTTAATTACCTCCGATATTTCATTACAGTAATGGAAAGCAGACAATGAGAAAGGGTTCTCACATATAATGCTACTAACATTTGGGGCTGAGTTACTTCTTATTGGTGTGTGGGAGGGGGGTCTGTCCTGTGAACTGTAGGATGTTTAGCATCGTCCTTAACCTCTATCTATTTGATGGTAATAGCACTCCTAAGTTGTGATAATTTAAAAATGTTTCCAGACATTTCCAGATGTCTCCTGGGGAAAAAAAATAACCAACTCACATTTTGAGAACTATATCTCTAAGAGAAGGCTTTCTCAAATCATTTGTGGTAGAGGACAGGTATTTTATTTCTAATTCTTGGAAGACTGATATTTTTGCTCTAATTCCTTTTCAATGAGACCAGTCCATTGATCAATGCACTTGCAGGCTACAGCAATCCATGTCAAATTGTTTTAAAAGTTTCTAGATGCTTATCCTGAATTTCTGTATTTATTTCTTCAATTTGTGGGCTGGTACCCATTCAATGGGCAACACTATAGAAAACTGACTTAAAGTCATGCTACTCAAAGTGTGGTCCTTGAACCAGCAGCATTGACATCACTCAGGAATCTGCCGGTGATGCAGAATCTCAAGCTCCATCTTAGACATACTGAATCAGAACTTGCATTTTTAACAGAATTTCTATGTGATTTGTATGTTTAGACTTTGAGAGGAGCACTTTACTTCCCCTCACAGGACTCCAGGGTATGCCAAAGTTGTAAATAAAACATGTATAGCAAGTGGAACTATCTAAGGACTGCTGGAACTTCTTTAAGTTGAACAAGTATGACTCAGGAAACCTCTCCTGAAGTTAATCTGCAGGATGTAGAATATTGAGAAGTTTATAATATTTTCTCCTTATCCAGGAAACTAGTAAATTAAAGGAGGCTTTTGATGATTGGCTGATCCATGACTCCATGAAAATATCCAAGAGAGTGTCACATTTCTCTGATTTTAAGTAAACATTTTTTTTTCTTTTTTTCTATGTGTCTAAAATGAGAACGTACTTTCTACTGGTCTGATTTTAGCTAAGAGACACGCTATTATGGAAAAGTTCTCACCATTGTATTACCAGAGTCGTCAACAGAATATAAGCAGAATATGACCCACTCCTGCCCCCATCTCATCATCGAATTCATATATATGGATTAGCTGTAGACAGAAGGATACCATTAAGTTATCCATACTAGGAACAAATACTAGCTTATTAAAACAAAGGAAAACAACCAAACCATGACTTACGTCTGACCGAGTACACAAATGGCTTTAAGAACTTCACCACATAATTCAGATCTGGTTTATGCATTCTCCCAAGCTGTATCAGATGGTGATCCAGTGGGTAGCTGGCTAATTCTTCTATGTTGTCCTTATGCGCAGGGCCCAGAGAAATCACAAATATGACATAGCCTTGACACTTGGCTCTCAAAGCCATCTTCTTCACATACTCCTTTCTCTCATGATTTTCACCAGCTGAGATCACAAAGATGACCTTGTGTTTGCGTGAGTTGGGTGTTCCTGGGAAGAGATTTTCCGTGGCCCATTGTAGGGCATGACCAAGGGTGGCTTCCCCATTTAGCTGTTGGAGGGAAGTCTGGATGTGGCTCTTTATTAGGACTTGGCTGTCATAAGTTGTAAACTCAAATTCTACTTTTATTGTCCCCATTTTTCTTCTGGAACCATCCCAAGGAGAATAGCTCAACAAGGCAATCCTGTCCCCAGAGTCTGAGACTAAAGGGTTGGAAGCAATGTCAAAGTTGTCGATGGCTGAGCTCAACAAGGTTTTCACGGCCTTAAAATCATCATTTGCTATATGTTGAGAATTGTCTAAGAGGAAGGCTACATCCATGTAGGAATTTCCAGGTAAGAAAATCTCTTCGGCACAAGTATTTGGAAAGCATTTATCTGAAAACACACAGAGAGATGCATCATTGATGGGATGTTGGTACAAGATACTTGTTTGAGATCTTTGTCAAGGGATTCAGTGACTAATTACCAAGAGTTAATCATCTGATCCATACATCTTCAATTTCACATCATTTAAACTAATAAAGAGTTGTCAACATCCAATGTTTCTGTGGCCATTAGCAGGCAACTTGGGGTCTGTGTTGGAAGCAGATTTAGGTAGCAACTTGAAGTTCACAATCCCTGTCTAAACCTATTTAGGAAATATTTTAATCATTTAGAGGCTTTGGATTAATAGGAACCAAATTGTCTCCCAGAAGGGCTACATCAATTGGGATAATTTTCTAAACCAATTTTCACATTCTCTGGAAATTCCAAACACTACAGGGATTGAAATCCTGACATATGGTGTTTTCTAAAACTGCAAAAATTGAAAATAGACCCTATAATCAAAAAATAGAAATCTGACATAACCATATTCAGTAATCCACCCAGAAGTCATTTAAGCTTTCAACACAGTAGATTCTTTTCATTGGTCTTACCATAGCAAAGTGTGCAGAGACGCAGCCTTTCCAACGGTTCATAGTCTCCATCGGGAGGAACTGGAATCACCTGAAATGTCCCTGTGTTGTCGAACTGCATAGAAAAGGAAATAAATGCTTATTTACCCATTTTTTTAATCATTACAAGGAACCATTATGTACTCACTTTGAAAAACACCCAATTAATCACTATCATCTTGCATTATAATCCTTTGCTTTATTCAGTCAGTACATCTTCACATGCCTGAACATGCATGCACATCTCCCTTTTATCCTAAACATAACCCCTCAAAAGCATGCACAGAACAGGTATCAACATCCTTATTTTATGATAAAGAAAAGCCGCCCCAAGATAACCTGACCAGATTTAGGTTCATCAGGGCAGGGGGAAATCTAAATCTCTTACTCCTGTACCTTCAATTCTGGACTGAATTTTTGCATTCTTCTGATTACACACTAGCTTCTGAAATTGGGCTCTCCAGATATCTTACATTCTCAAGTTTTCTTTGGCTTCTCTAAGTAGTGATGCCAACTATTCCTACTCCACTCTATCTAGAAGATGTCAAGTGGAACTTTTCAATCACAGATTCCAATTAAAAGTCTATTTCAAGGCAATAGACACACTGTTTTCTTAATATTCTAGGTCGTACACTGATTTCATCTGTTTCTTGATTAATGTTTTTGTCTTTATGCTCACTGAAATGGGCAATATAGAGCATTAATTCAATCATTCAGTGAGTCAATATGTGTTTGGGGGGGGGGCATTTACTTTGTGTGAGGCCCCAGGAAAGAAAAATACTTTTATCACAATGGAAGTAATCCATCACTCCCAGGTGGTAATGAGGGTAGCTCTCAATCCACACAAACATTTGTTCTTGTTTTCTTTGTCCCTCAGAAAATTAAAGGGTCAGAAAGCCATACCTTTTCTTTACATAAAATTCTGAGCATTACAACATTTTTATAAGTTTCTGGCCTTACAGTTAGAAAGTTGTTACTACCTTCCTACTCTCTACTTTTATGAAATTGAATCTTGGGGGGCGTTATTTTGTATTTGGCTCCATTGGTCCCACATGCAAAGACTAAATGTCAACTTTGTAAACCAAGGAAATTTATTGGGGTGAGCCAAATGCTTATTGAACGCCTACAGTGTTATAGGTACATTGGCTGGGGATATAGAAATTCCAGATGAAATCTCCACTCTACATTCTACCCGGGGGAGTAACATTACCTCATATGCTGGGAGGTAATAATATTTATAGAAAAAAAAGCAGAGTAATAGGAATGAGGGATGTTGAAGTGACATTTAAATAGAATTCACTGGGAAAGTGACATTTAGGTAAATTTCAAAGGCGGTGAAGCAGTCATATCCAGGAGAAGAGAATTTGGGACACAGAAAACAGTCCTAGGAAGGCTCCTGGGAAGCAGGGAGTGTGCCTGGCTCAGTTGCAGTCAGTGCCAAGGACTATGTCAGGGATGGAGAAAGTGAGAGCAAGAAAAGGAGAAAGTGAAGTCAGAGAGATTAGAAGAGGACCGGGGGGAAGACCACTTAGAGTTCAAAATGCTGGTCCTTGTAGAGGTCTTAGCTTTAACTCAGAAATGAGGAGGCACTGGGATATTTTGAGCAAAGGAACCATCTAGTGTCTTGGGTTTAGCAGGATTGTTCTGGCTGCTGTATTGAGACAGATTGTGGCAGAGCAAAACTAGGTGTGAAGACACTAATGAAAAAGTGATTGCAAAGTCCAGGCAAGAGATGATGGGTGTTTGCATCAAGGTATTGAAAGTGTAGGTGCTAGGAAGTGGCCGGAATCAGGATATATAACTTCATTAATAATATTAATTAATAATTAATTATGTAATACTATTAATATTATTATTCATAGTATTACATTATTACTTAATACTGGTATTTATATGAGTACTAAATACTAGGTATTTACTAATGAATACCAATATACTCAAGTGTATGTGCATATATACACTTTAATATAGACACACACCATGTATATGTACATATATATACACATTTACCTATACTGAAGTTAAGGATTTGAATATATACAAATATATAAAATTAAGGATGTTGGATAAGGATGTAAGAAAAGATTGTTTGAGATATTTGTCTCAAATAATCTTTTATAGATAGCTGAAAGTGGAAGAATGCAATTTTTTTTTTAAATTGAGATGCTGAATATGGAGCAAGTATTGGGGGCAAATCCAGTTTCATGTTGGACTTGGTAAGTTTAAAATATCCACTAGGCATGCAAGTGCTGAGAAGGCTGCTGTATATGTCAATCTAGAGTTCAGGATCATAGTGTGGATGGGAAATATGAATTTCTACTATTGAGGGTATTTAAAGCCATGAGTGTGGGTGACTTCAAGAGACCAAGAGCAGATAGGGAAGAGGGCTGAGGAATCAACTTTGGGAACTCCAACATTTCAAAGTCAGGAAAATGAAAAGGTGTCAGAAAACTAGACCAAGAAGGGGAAACTAATGAGGTATGAGAAAAACCAGGAAAATGAATGGGAGGAAAATGTTTCCAAGAAGAGAAGGGTGGGATGAACAATGATGTCACGTACTGCTAATAAGTCAATGAGCTTCGGACTTGGAACCAGCCTCTGGTTGCAGGAACAGAGAGATCACAGTTGGCTTCGACAAGAGCAGTTTGGGGAGATTAGTAGGGATGAAAACACTACTAGGCTTACTTAGTTCAAGAGAGAGAGTAAGGAGAAGCACTGGAGACAGCAAATGTAGACACTGTTTTCTTTCCTAAAAAAAGTTGCTACATGGGGAGCCAGGAAAGATTTATAAAGATTTAATCTACTAAAACTTTAATCATTTTATTTTTAGAATTTTCTGGAACATCAGTGGGACATTGCGAGTCTAAATTCCATTTAGAGTATGGAGAATTTTTTTTAAAAAAAGGCAAGGCGAAGTATTTTGGAATACTTTAGAATTGTCAAAAGAAATAACATAAAACACAAGTGATACAAGAAATGTGAGGTGGTAGTTCTGCGGGACAATCAAAATAGCCAATAAGCTTATGAAAAAATGTTTAATGTGGGTTGGGGTTGTGGTTCAGCGGTAGAGCACTCACCTAGCACGGGCGAGGACCTGGGTTCGACCCTCAGCACCACATAAAAATAAATAAATGAAATAAAGGTATGGTGTCCTACTACAACTAAAAAATAAATATTAAAAAAATTTTTAATATCACACGCAAAAATCTCAATCAAAGCAACAACAATGAGGTACTCGTTGTAACCTATTATAGTGCCAACAATTTTTTTAACGCCTGATAGATAAAATCCAATGTTGCTAAGTATATGGGAAAACAGACACCTTTAGATAGAAGGGTAACAGTTCAACACCTTCAGAATGGAGTTAGAGAGGAATTGATGAAGAGGGTGGAAAGGAGAGGAGGGCAGAGGCTAAGGGGGTATCCTGAATGGAGAAGAGTGGAGAGGCAGAGATGTTCATGCCATCACTGAAGGGAGCCTTGCTCAAGCATGACACATGTGAGGTTATTATCCGGTAAGAACAGAGTGATAAGAAAGAGCTTCCTGGGTCAGTTACTGTAGATACTGTGAATTACAAGTGACTGCTAACAAGAGCAGTGGAGTCTCTTTTCTGCTAGGGATTCCATAGGGTTTGGGCTTGGTCTTATCAGAGGAGAAGATTGATTTTGAAGTTTATCTTGAGATTTCTCTTTTTCTAGAATGTGACGCAGCTCTAAAAGCAGAACTGTCACTTGTTTCCCTCTGGGAGAAAAATGAAGGGCAGCAGGAAAACTGAAAAACCTAGGACCTCAAGTTCCAATAATCCGTTTTGTCAGAATCTGTTATGACTCTTTCTGTGGCTCTGATTTTCAGAAAATTCCTAGGTGTGTTAGGAGATTGATTCTCTCCATGTCACAGAGAACTGCCTGTCTTTTCACAGTAGAAGTGTGTATGTGTGTGTATTTAAACAACATAATGGTTTCATCCAGCTCTGGAAGTAGTGACTCCATGGATAATCTGAATACATTTAAGTGTCACTGGTCCTTAGATGGAGTTGTCACTGGACCTTAGTTTTTAGGGGGAAGTAGAAGGAGGCATTAATCCCTCCAAAGTCTATTGATCCAAAAGTGACAGAAACTCTTTGGGGGAAAAAATGGTTCACATATATCAAATGTTTTGAAGCATTTTAGGGGATCAAAGATGATCCCCTGAAATTTATCACAGGTTAAGACCAACTGTTTAATAAGATACTGTGAGCAGATGATAAATCGGAGAAACAGAAACACCAGGCCTGCAGATGGCTAGAGAGCGACATGTTCATGGCCCTTTATTTCAGATAGAGCTCAATTTGATTCTTGATTTAGCGCCTCAGCAGCTGGACAGAAGTAGATAAGTTGCCAGAACACTCTGGGCCTGCACTTTCTTATTTTTAACATGGAACGAACAACTGCATTCACTTCTGAGTATCGTGAGAATACATGAATATGTCTGTGAAGTTCTAGGGCCAGTACCTGGCATGCAGCAGGAGCTGAGCCAAGGTGGCTGCACTGTTCTTGAGTATTGTGATCATCACGTTTTGGATTTCATGGACACTCTCAACAACACAGCTTCAAAAGGTACAAAGGGGATCAAGAGGCCACACATCTCCCCTGACCCCCACCACTTCCATCCTGCTGTTCCATACCCCTACCTTAAAAATAAAGATGTCACCAAGGGAATTTCTTACCCCAAAAGCTTCATCCAGGAAAACTCTTTCATTGAAAGCAAAGACTGCCGGACTGATATCCAGAGCACTGAACTCCATGGTCGCTGTGAGGATGGATGACCTGCTGACGGCTTGACCATTGCTAAAAAACACAGCAACTCTCCTCACGTTGGCTCCTGGGTACGTACGCTTGAAAACATGGCGGGCCACAAACCTCATGGCATTACCAATGTCCCGAGCCTCTGTAGGGACTTGGTATTTTATTTGGGATAGAAGCCGGAGGAGCTGCTTCTTGGTGCGGTAGTCAGACGAACGGATGAGATAGTCGGTGTCTGAGTCGTAGGAAACCACAACAATCCTTGCTCCCATAGGACAGTTATTTTCCCTGATATGAAGGTCATTGACAATGGAAGTGATGATGCCCTTTATTTCATTAAACCTTTGTTCAGTGACACCAGAGGATTGGTCCAGGGCAAACACCAGCTCTGTGGGGTATGCTGGACACTTTTCTACAAAAATGAGAAGCACAGGTATTTTGTTATTTCACTGGATTAAAGTCTTTCCCATGCTCTTTACCCCAGGGAAGCTGGTACACACAGGTGAAGCAAGAACTTCAACCAGCTCTAGATGTGGGGGTGTCCACATGAAAAATAAGGAACATGCTTTGTCAACTTGAAGGTGTTACACAAGTAATATTGCGCTATGTATTGCTCAGACTTCACAGCCTACTATCAGTGTGCACTTTAAGAGGAAATGGGGGGAGTCTGTTCTGTGTCCTGGTTGGAGTCGTGGTTATATAAATCTATGCAGCTGTTAAAACTGCACACACACCAAAAAGTGAATTTTACTGTACACATATATGAAAAATGTATAAGAGGAAATTATAGTTTGTTGGGGGATTTTGCAGATGTCCTTTCCTTTAAAAAAAAATCTTCAAAATTATTTAAAAATGAAGTCACTTGGCAGATTTTTATCCACTTAAGCACCAAATGTTTATTAAGTGCCTACCACTCAAAATGCAGTGTGAGACATCTACTCTGCAACACGTGCACACAGGAGCCAAACACAGCTGTGCCCTCAAGAACTGTGGACTGGAAACGATCCTCCTACAGTAAGGCACAGAGTGATGGCTTAATGGGAGTTCGGAGGACAGAGGCTGTTCCTCAAGAAGGGTTATATCAGGGGCTTTGTGGAAGATGGTTTTTGAATGAAGGCCTGAGTGACAGTACAAAGGAACGGCTTAGGCCAACACAGGTTGGCTATGAGCTATTACAAAAATGGAACTGTGTGCAATTCCCAACTCAGTACTGAGAGACGTAGGATGTCTGAACTTTAGGAATTTCCTAGAGAATCTTCCATATGCATCAAACCTAATTTTTAGATGTTCTTGTTACAGTCTGAACATAGAAAAAACGATTACACACACACACACACAAAAAAAATCAACTTTATCTACTTAGGCTTTTTTTCCAATCTGGTTAATCCCCAAAGCACATTTAACTCAAAGTATTCTGCATCTCAACCACTGTTCTCTTTTTTTCTTTCTTTCTTTGGGATGTTGGGGATTGAACCCAAGGTGTTTGCATGCGAGGCAATCACTCTACCAACTGAGCTATAACCCCAGCCCTCAACCACTATTCTTGATGACATAATAGAAAAGTATTAATTTAGAGATGTGTTTTGAATCAAGGAATTTTACTGTAGAGAGTTTTTAAAATATGAAAACTGATATTGAACAACAGAATAAGAAATGGAAGTATTCCTTATTTCTTAACTCTATGCTAAAAATGATTGGTGAAGTGGTTGAAAAGCATTTCTAAAACTGACATATTTGCAGGATCTCCTAGAAGGTGGAATTGATTTCTATTTGTATTCTCCCCTTCCTCCCAGTACCCAGTACAGTACCTGGCTCAAGGGACAATCGGGTCACACATAACATTGACGCATTTAATCGTAATCCATGAATTTTGATTGAGCATTTATCACGTGCAAGGAAATTTTTTGCACAATTAAAGTGAAAGGTTCCAGACTGTGGGATGATCTAAGATCCTGAGGGTCTACTTTAGCAGGCCTCCAGGAGACCAGGAGATCTTAAAGTTGAGATAGCTGGCTTCAATGGCCATGTCATCAAAGGGATCTAAGGAGTCACGTAACACCAACTGCACTCTAGGCCTTAGATACACCATCCACAGGCACAGCAAGGTTTAAAAGTGGTGGACACTTGCTGAGATCACAGGCGCTCATGTGGGTCATGAGAGGAAAGGTCACCTTGCAGTTCTAAGATGGTGACAATATCAACAGGGACAGTAGCAGACAGAGCAGTGGAGGGTTCATCAGTCTGTTCCCTGGATCTCCCAGCAACCAGGATCTACTCTATTAAGAGGCTGAGTTGAAAACTGGCAGGATCTAGAATAGACAATACTATGGAGGGGTTGGGTTAAGGCACCTCAAGGTACAATTGGGTCACACATGACAATGACAGTTACAGCCGTAAGAAAACAAGAAAAACGTCTGCATAGAAGGAAGAAGTCCATTTTCCAAGGGAGGTAAGGGTTTCTTTCAAATTGGTCTCATCCAGACACAATCATTATTTCATCAAGAAATAGTATGGTAAGAACACTTACCTTTCCAACAAGCTGTGTATATATATTTAAAAGAGAGAGAGAGAGAGAGAGAGAGAGAGAGAGAGAGAGAGAAAATAGTCTGTTACATTTTTGGAACACAGACCAAAAATAATCCAAAACAATATTCAACAATGTTTTAAGATTTTCTTTGACTCTAATTGGAAATGAGGCTAATTTCTGCATTACAGGAAGCCAAGTTTAAAGGATTGAGAAAGATATCCACAGAATTTTGTTAATTCCTGACATTTTCCCCCTACGAGTTATGGACAGATGACCTGAGCAGAATTTGGGGTGAAATGGAAACACTGATCACTTGTCTTAGAATAGATGAGGCTCTGATTAAATGACAAGATAGCTGAAATTCAATTTGTTTTGTCTCTCTTCTTAGAGCCTTTAGAGAGTCATTCAGCAACATAAGACTGAAATATGGGGTCTTTGTTTTCTTCCCTGATGAACTCTTTGGGAACCTCTATTTTCTTGTAGGACGATGAGGGGATTTTCAAATGAACTTTGTCTCGGATTAAAAATATAGCTCCTCTGTTCGAGTGATCTCCACATACAGAGAGAAGAAAGGGGGGGGCGGGTGGGAAACCCAAGAGTTTCTTTCAGTAAAACAGCATCTGGTGTCTCCAATTGATTTACTCCGTAAACTTGAGCCACATGAGGGCAATATGGGTAAATCTTTAAGAAACCACAGCCCTGAAAATTTCCATGTTCAGTTTATTCAATTCTTAGGAAGCAATGAGTCCCGCTAATCTAATAAAAGAGTTAATATATTAATAAACTATATATAAAAGTGACAGACTGGTGTTTTCTGCCCAGGTATCCCAGCACCAGATCAGCTCTCACCAACACTATTGTGTTTGTCTTAGTCCTATGGCCACTGCGATGCTGATGGTCATCATCAGTACCCATAAACCCACATCTCCTCTGCATCACAAAGTCTAAATCAGATCCTTTTGTCTGACAGAGAACTTTCATGTGCTAACTTCCAACCCAGCTGCAAGGCTACAGGCAAATCAATGGATCTAGACTCACCTAATGGGACTGAATCTATCAAACCTGGTTGACTCTGGGAGAAATCACTTTTCCTCTATCTGTCTAAGTATTTATTTACCTGCTTTTCCTCAACCCTCTAATTACTGACTCCTTTCATCTAGTGTTGGAAAACTTCTCCCTTCAAAGTCCAAACCCTCCAACAACTAGTCTTCTCCTCCCTGACACTTTCCACCTATCCTGGGTCATCCTTGGGAAGATATTTGATTTCACTGAGAAGACTGGCAAAACCTGGAAGGAGCTTGATCATCCCACTTCTTCCCCCTACAGTGGCTCTTTCCTTCCCTCCCTGTGGTCCCAGGCTCTAGTTCTCACCTCCCTCCACCAGAATTCGAGTGATGTCAATGTCTAAATAACTAAGTAATTAACCCTAAACTGCTACGCTCATTCCCTTAATACAGTGCCCTCTCAATCCTTTTACACATAATTGTTATATTACTAATGTGAGCAAATACATACACCTTTTGAGTTGGTCTCTAATTGTTTCCCGTATGCATATCTTCTCTTCTTGTATGCATCTCCCCTCAGGAGCTCACACATTTTTACTTATACCCTTTTTTCCTCCCACCTTTGATGTGAGATATCCCCACAGTAGGCAAATCCTGCTACAGAGGCTTCTCCATCAGTGAATTCAGCCTTCTGATTCCACAGACCTGTGCTAAGTGGGGTTTAATCCCAAGCGCCCAGAACCACTGACAAACTTCTTCACGACACGTAAATACTCACGACTATGGTCCCGCATGAACTTGATCAGATCACATTGCTGTAAATTTTTACAGAGAGAGAGAGAGAGAAAATAAACATAAATACAGTTGATTGCCTGGTGATTGTATTTATTTCCTGGTAAACTGATTAGAATTTTCTTTCTTTTCTTTTTTTTTTCCCCCATGATTTAGGAGATACGTACAGAATGTACAGGCTGTCCTGCCACGCCTTTAGGGCCCTAGGAAAACAAAAACAGAGCGAGTTATTGGCTTGTGAACTAGAGTCTTTAGAATTAAAATAAGAAAACAAAACCTTTCTTAAACAGCACAGCTGACAGAAAGCAGTTAAAGTTCTCCCTTTGGTGGGCTCATTACAAGACATTTTCTCCACTCACATCAAGGCTGCAAACTTTTTAAATTTCAATGTAGATCAGGTAATCTAATGTCTACCCAAAATGAACTGAATTATTTCTAGGGTGGTAAGAAGAAGCAAAAGCATTTCCTAAAGATATTTATATGAAAGATGCAACACTTAAGGCATTTCTCGTAAGAATGCATAAAACAGTAAAGAGCAGAATTCACAAAGGGTGGTGCTAAGAAGGGATACGGTTAGGTTACAAATTAGGGATTTTAAAAATGCAACCCCAACATATGTGAAAGAACCAAAGACAACTGCATAGCAAAGTGGAAATAAGAGCTCAAGTAAGAGCTTACACACTAAGCTCTAAATGCCAAGAGGTCATGGAGCAAAGCAATAAACCAATTGGGTGAGATAAATCAAGGAAGGTTTCTAGAAAGAAGTTAATCCTACTTCTCAGCATCTTGAGCTTTTCTTTTTTCCTCTTCTTATTTCCTTTTATCGGGATTAGGTTTCTTATGAGTAGTGGTTCGTAATATATTTTCATGTGTAGATCCCTTTAAGCAACTAATGAATGCTAGTATGCTCATTTCAGAAAAATGCTATTATGTGCTCACACTTGTACAATTTTATGGACTCCTGTCCCCCAGAAGCCTATTCATGGATGTCAGTGCAAGAATCTCTGTCCTCAATGACAACTGGTTCTCTACATTCATCCAACCATCCATGCATGTGTATATGCATCCAATAACCAGGTAAATGTTTGCCAAAAGCAGAGGTAACCCATGGTGTGCTTCTGGTGTTGATCAGAATCATATGGTATCCATGATTCTATTCGTAGGAGCATATTATCTTTCTGATGCAAATCACTAAAAGGTAGAGTCTCAACCATCCTTTTTCAAGTTATGGCAGAAAACAGAAAAGAATACATGACACCTTAAGCAGACAGAAGAATCACAGTTTCTGGCTAATAAATGGAGGAGGAAGCCCACATTTTACAGAGAATCACACCTGTGAAGAGTGTGTCCTGAAAGAGTAAGCTTAACAATAACTTTGAGAAAGTTCTTAAGCAAATCTGAGGATCAAAGGCCTGAGATCAAGAAGCCACATTACAGTCCAGATCAGTCAGGCCAAGTGCAAGACCAGGAAGATGGGGGTGGGGGGGCCCAAATGACAGCCCCAGAATCTGGAAAGATCAATCTAGAGCAGACAAGACTGGCACAGAGACTTGATGATCACCCACATGACTAAGAATATTCACCCATTCCTTGATGCAAAAGAAAGAAAAAATTATATTATCAGTTTATCACAAGACCAATCCTGTTTTTTTTTTCCATTATACAATCCAAAGTTCAAGAATCCCTTGATGCATAAAGCAAGAGAAGCAATTTATCCATTTCTTACACAATGCTGCCTGGGGTTCCTCCACAAACCACAGGTGCTGGCAATATTTAGTTCTTATCTGACTGTGCCTGTGATGGGAGAGAGCTGTAACTAAATCATTACAACCACCTCAGAGGAACTAAAGTCGAGATTATGGATATTTGGTCAGTGGGAGATGTACCTGACTGCCTGGGAATGCTTCCAGAGGTGACATTTCTCTTGTAATAGTATCAGAGTGAGAAGTTGCCGTTCTATTTCCAGCTTTCTCTAAAGTCTTAATTTGGAGGATAGGGAGGCAAAAATCATGGTTTTGGCAAACTTTATCAACTGTCTCACGTGATGGACATTTTGCTAGGATACCTTTGCAAAGTTCATGCAATCCCGTTTCTTTTTTAAAGCCTTCAGTAATAAATCACAATAGCACCTAATATTTGCACTTTAAAGGTTGCAGAGTGTTTGCATTTGATTATCTGATCCTCACAGCTACTTTTTGAGGTGGTCGGAGAGGATATGTCATCCCCATTTTAGAAATAAACTGGGAGACCCAGTGACTATCTCAAGGGCATACTACCTAGTAAGAAACAGAATCTGGATTCAAACCTAATGCTTCTGACTACAAGTGCTGTGCCCTTTCTATGGAATCTACCAGAAACCAGCACATACTACTTAGTTCTCATGCAAATACTCACTCTCCGTCCTGGCAGGCCTCGGGATCCTGGAAGTCCACTTTCCCCTTTCTGGCCTACGGTGAACTGCAGATAGGAACATACAGTCGAGTCAACATTTTTCTATTCATGGGGGGCTACCTCAGTTTTAATCAAAGTTTATAATTTTTTAAAGATTATTTTTAAAAGAGAGCAGCTGCTAATATAAGACAGATCAATTGTTCACTTGTAATATAAGCTCTGCATTCTTAATCATTGGTAAGCATCCATTTACCTCTTAGCCCTTCATTCAGTGATATACTGTGCTCTGGCACCAGCTGTGCATTGAAATCTAAATTAGCCATAAACTGGAATTGGAACTAATAGAAAAAGCAAATATACTGGGGTGCACAGAGATCTAGTTTTTTAAAAAAAGCTTCTCATCTGTAAAAGATAAATAAGAAGCAGGACATGAGTGCCCACTGAAATGTATCCAGCCAGATGCAAAGTTTATGTTGAATTACATCTCTTTCACACTGAGGGGGACCACTGATAGCTGCATTCAAACTTTAAAATGAAAAGGATGCTTGTCTCAGCATGTTGGAGTTAAATGAGCATAAAAAATCTAGTCCATATTTTGATAATTAGAAGATCTTAGTATTCTTATTCCAAACAAATACCCCATATGACCTTCTTATGGGTAGAAGAATCATCAGAAAACCCTCAGGGACCCTGAGGGAAGATGACGGTTTCATTTCCATACACAGTGTTAATAATATTCTGGGATTACATGTGCCTTAGAAAAGACTGAAAGGCACTGATATTTCTGCAACAGCCAGTCATCAATTTGTAAATCTCTACGGTAGTTCAGATTCATGGTACAGTAGACTTTTAGAACTGAAAGTGACCTTGGATGTCACTATGTTTAGTTCTTAGCATGTAGAAACAGAGGCCCTCAAAAGGTATACTGAAGGTCACATAGCTAGCTAGTGGCATTTTAGATGCCCCTGGGATCGAGCTACAATCCACATTTAATATTATAACATGAAAGCAGAGTCTGCAAAAGAAACATTTACTATTTCTGAAATCCCAGGTCACTTACTGATAGTCCCCTAAACCCTTTGGGTCCAGGGTCCCCAGGAATTCCAGGATCACCAACAATACCCTGAAGAGTCAGAGAAAAAAAAAATCAAGATGTTAACATATGTGCTACAAGAGAATAAAAAAAAATTGTCTCCAAACCAAAATTGAATTGCTCTTATAAGAATTATACTATAGCTCAGTTGGTAGAGTGCTTGCTTCGCATGCACAAGGCCCTGGGTTCAATCCCCAATACCAAAAAAAAAAAAAAAGAATTATAATGTATATATTAATGGAGGCCAATACAACATTAAATGTCATCTTTTCCTGCCATTTGGAACTATCATGAGATCCATTTAGTTATTCCCTAAATTATTTAAATATTCAAATAATGCAAATAGTTGCATATAAATACCAACTCAATGACTTCCAGTTACTAAAACTATCCAAAGAAAATGCTTAAAAACCATGGAAAATATAGAAAGTACTGACTATATAAAATGCAAAATAATTAATTATTTCCTAAATTAATGAATTATTTTTAAAAGTTGAAGGTAAAAAATTTTTCTGACTTTGATGAGAAACTAATTTTAACAGTTATTTATCAATATGCTTATTTCACTTATGTCAGTAAATTTATATATGCAAATTTTCCTCCCTTTATCAGTAAATTAGAAAACAGATCCTTTATAAGGAGAACTCTTGTCCTAATAGCTATTCATATAGTCTCTTCTTGTGTCCTTTTTTTCTTTTTAATTTGGAATTGTCTTTTTTTATTCACTAGTACATTTTAATTATACAGATAATGGGTTTCATTGTGGCTTATCCATACATGCACATGACATACTTTGAACATCTCCACCCCCTCTCCTCCAATTCCTTTTATCTCCCTTTTGTATCCTTTTCTGCCTAAAGAAAGACTATTTTGGTAAATCATCAGTTAAAAATACTTTTTAAGAGAATCAAAAAACTGGCTGCTTTCCTCTAGGGGATTTGATTAGACATCATTCTATTTTTTAACCTATATTTTGCATTTTGATCTGAGCACCAACTATGTGGAAAACACTATTCTGAACACTTTTTTGAAACAGAAAATCTTAATACAGAATCATTGTGCATACACATATAATGTGAGCTACTTTGGTTGAAATAGAAGACCCATCTTCAATCTAATAGTCCAGGAGGAATTCTAGAAGAGGTCTGATCAAGAAAGTAACATAACAAGCCAGGCACATGCCTGTAAACCCAGCACTAAGAGAATCACAAGTTCAAAGTCAGCCTCAGCAACTTAGTGAAATCTTGTCTCAAAATAAAAAATAATAAAGTCTAAGGATGTGGCTCAGTAGTGGCATGCCCCTGAGTTCAACCCC